AGTGTATGATTGTTAAATGTTTATACCCTGTATTTTGCTCTGGGAAGTTGGGGGGAGGGAGGATTGGAGGGGGGGAAGGTTGGGGTGGGGGGGGAGAGAAGGGGAAATATTTGTAAAATTTATTAAAACTTTTCAATAAAAAAATAAGAAAAAAAATAAGAAAAAAATAAAAATAAAAAATAAAGAAAAATAATAAAAATAAAAAGACTCCCTAGTAAGAAACTGGGGTCAAAGTTTATGGGACCATTCCACATAGTAAAGATCATCAACCCAGTCACAGTGCAATTGAAACTGCCCCGACTGCTAGGGAAGATACACCCGGTATTGCATAGTAGCCTCTTAAAATCCGTGGTCAGATCCACTCTGAGACCACTACCCCGGGAGCCCCCGGGCCCTGTGGTCATAGGGGGCCAAACCCATTATGAGGTGCAATGAATCCTTGATTCGAGGTGGCACAGGAGACAACTCCAGTACTTAATCAAGTGGAAGGGCTATCCCTTGGCAGAGGCATCTTGGGTAAAGAGTAGAAATATCCAGGCTTATCGCCTTACAGAATGATTTCATGAAAAAAATCCAAACAAGCCTGGGGGGAGGACATAGCCTTAAACCCTATACTTGTATTCAAATTGTTTTTGCTTCGTAGAGGTTGCTTTTGGAAAGTGAGGGGAACCGAATGTCAACTCTCAGCATTGTCATGTGAGACAAGGAGGGGGAGTGCATTCCACGCATACTTTCAGCTGGAGTCGGATCTCAGATTACTGCAGCAGTCTTGGGAGGAGTGCATTTTATAGGGGAATGTGATCTATGACACAGACTGAGGGGAGGGAAGGAACAGGGGTAAAGGTCAGCAATAAATCTAACAAAGCATAGACTTGACTGCGAACAGATCTCGCCTAATGGTGCTCCTAATAAATGACTAGTTTTTGTATTGAACCTTGACTTGATGCTCATGAATCAATTAGGGCACTTTTAGGAAATCTCACAGGCTCTTTGCCCAAGAGCCCATACTGCAACACCCCAACCCAGAACAGCAATTCAGATGCCAGTGATGTGGCTGTAGCAGCAGTGTTGTTGCAAAAGAACAAAGAAGGACACCTCTTGCCACACGCTTATGTCTCCAAAAAACTCACTGCTACTGAAGGAAGTTGGGCCATTTGGGAGAAAGA